ATAACAAGAAATTTACCCCAAATTTTGGGGGCCCAAGAATCTTTTTACACACTGTTGAAAGACTGTAGAACTGCTAAGAAATCCGATCAGAGCATAAAGGACTAAAGAAGCATACAGCTTTTTCTAACCAAGGTTATCGATAGCGGATAGCGTCGCGTAACAGTGAGGCATCGCTAAGGCTATTTCGGGTTATTGCGGCAAAATAACGGTAACAAATGCAAAGTCAAATAGCGGCCTAATTTAGATATGTATAAATACTAAAAAAATTAAAAAAATTTAAAAAAATCTAAGAAACCTAAAAGTACACATTAGATGATTTAAAGAGATCCTAAACATGAAATAGACATGTAACCATCACGTAATACTGAAGATGACTGGAGAAGTCAAAAAGTCATCGTCTTCGAGAAGAAGAGCTTAGCGGTGACATGACTGCCCTAAGAGGAGCTCACGGTGAAGGAGGTGAGATGAAGTATCAAAGTAGGTGTCAGAGGCTATGAGAGGTGACGGGAGTATGCTGAAAATCACAAGAGACGATAGAATGCAATGATCAAGGGTTGAGTTTAATTTTAAAAAAAATAAGCCTCAAACCACTTTTAAATAACAATCAAAAAACAAATTTTGAATGCAATCGTTCACTATTTACCGTTATGACACACTATTGATCGCTTTTACGAACAGACATATTCCGCAATGTCACCGCTATTGCACGTTAGCGTAGCGGGCGATAACATCACGGGAAGGGACCGCTAACACTATTAACACCGCTATTGCGGGGCTATTTACCGCTATTTATAACAGTGTTTCTAACATAACGAGCATACTGATGCAGCTGAATTGACCAAAGATCGTGGCTTTAATGAATCCTATGCCTCAAAAGTAAGGACTTACTAGGTTTAAGTGGAGGCCATAAATAAGAACCCTGATTCATTTAATCGCAAAAGGAAGATAAAGGTGCTGAATGGTGAAGAGAAAATGTTTTTCCCTTTTTCTGATCTCAATAAAGTAAAGACGCTTGGCTTCGATGTATCCCGTGGCTCAAAGTCAATGTTTACTTGACTTGTATAAGATCTAAATAAGCTTCAGCCAGTTTCAAGGTTAGGCATCAAACTTCTTTTGTGTCTCTCCTAAGGCGTCATTATGCTAAGATAATACATCCAGTGTATAATAGAATACACTTTATTTTTTGAAGAAGTTAACTTCTTGTTCTCATGTTAATGGTATACTTACCAAGATTATGACCAAGGTCAACTCTAAACAGTTTGTATGGACCATGATTCTTTCTTTAATTCTCTTTTTTACTAATAATATTATATTGCTGTGACTAATGAATCTCGAAGCCCATTCTTTCCTGGCCTTAACTTTGAGATTTCATGGGTTTAAAACAGGTGGAAGTAAATTGCCACTCTGATACTAGTCCCAACAAACTTTTTTGGGGCTTCCAAACATCTAATAAATACAAAAAGTGAAGTTTATCACATGTTCTTTAGTGAATATCTGCGCCATGCCGACGCCAAGACAGGTGAGGTTGTTCATCTTCTTTCTTTATGTTTTACTTTATAGACTCATAGACAAGATAAACCAACAACCTGGTATTACTTGTTACAAGTTAGTTGCAGTTTAGTGCATTCCCTCATATTCGTTGTCAGTTAGATTTCTGTTTTCTATTTTTATGGCTATTTTATTTCCAGTAGTTGTTATGCCCAGTTAGTGGAGTCGTATTTGCAGAGTCAGTCTAAATAACTCAGTCCATGCTGACTGAATAAAATTAGTAGTTAGTTAGCTTTATTTGAGTTATATTAAGAGTCTAGAGTTCCTCCGTTACCTTTTGTATTCAGTTACTCTATTTTCTGAGAAATAAAACGTCTGCTTCTTTCACCTTAAATTCTTTTCTATTTTGTTATATGGTATCAGAGCTTGGTTGACCACCAAGTGTTTGTTCTATTGCCCGGTGAGAGGAGGTTTATTGTGAGTTCTATTACTTGTCAAGTCAAGATGAACGAAAGTAATAGTGTTTCTCAGCTGACTGTTGAGAAGCTTGTCGGCATCGATTATCAATATTGGTGACTGTATATGGAGGCCTACCTTCAAGGTCAAGATTTATGGGATCTTGTCTCCGGTGATGATAAGGAGCCAGATGATACTCCACAGCATGCTGATGCTAGGCGGAAATGGAAGATTAAGTGTGGGAAGGCGTTGTTTGCACTCAGAACTTCGATCAGTAAGGAATTTATTGATCATGTTCGTGAGTTGGATTCGCCGAATAAAATTTGGGATACTCTTGAGAGATTATTTACTCAGAAGAACACTACGCAGCTTCAATACCTTGAGAATTAGCTTGCTTTGTTAACTCAAGGTAATATGTCCATATCTGATTATTTTCTGAAGGTTAAGAATGTGTGCAGAAATTTCAGAACTGGACAGTGAAAAACCTATAAGTGATGCCAGGTTACGACGCTATTTGATTCGTGGTTTGAGGAAGGATTTCATGCCAGTCATCTCATCTATTCAAGGTTGGCCGAAGCAGCCATCTATTGTTGAGTTGGAGAATCCTCTGTCTAACCAGGAAGCCCTGGTTAAATAGATGACTGGAAAATCTCTTGATATTGAGGATGCATTGTATGTGAAAGACAAGGGGAAGAACAAGAATGCTTACAAACACTCTATAAAGGGTGGTAAGCAGCAAAAGGGTGAGGGGGAGTCAACAAACTCCTCTCAATCGTGTTATAGATGCGGAAAGGTGGGTCACATAAAGGCAAATTGTCGTGCAAGGGTCGTATGCAAACGGTGTGGCAAACCGGGGCATATTAAGCCAAACTGCGTGTGTTAAACTTGCAGAATCAGATGCAAATGCAGTACATGAAACCCAGGAGGACGAAGCAAAATGGGAGAAATGTCTCTCTGTGGAAGAAATTAATCAACCAGACAACATGGCTTCTATTATGCATGATGTGACGCAGATACAGATGACATTGGTTGCATTGATTACAAGCAGGACTAGATAGTTGATTCGGGTTGCTCACATCATGCTACTGGTGATGCCACAATACCCTCACATGTTCGTTCCCATTTGAGCAAGCGAGTGATTGTTACTGCAGATAATTCATTACATCCTGTGGCGAAAGAAGGGAATTACTGTGTCAAAGGCTACAGATGTAGATGCTGGTGGTCTTACTCTTGAGGATGTGTATTACGTACCAGGCTTAAAGAAGAATCTTGCTTCAGTTTCTCAGATCACTGATTCGGGGAAGTACGTTTTATTTGGTCCTGAGAATGTACAAGTACTTAGTAATCTAAAGAGTGTTGATGTTGATATTCTGCTTACGGGAAGAAAGAAAAATTCTTTATACATCTTGTCTGCGAGTGATGCTTATGTTGAAAAGACAAGCAGAAATACTAGTGCTTCACTTTGGCATGCTCGACTTGGGCACGTTGGCTATCAATTACTGCAGCAGATATCAACAAACAGACTGCTTGAAGATGTTCTTTTCTTCAAAATAGTGCATCCAGACGTAGTGTGTGCTGGTTGTCAATACGGTAAATCACATCGTCTCCCTTTCCATAAGTCTATGAATCGTGCTTCCGCGATGTTTTAGCTTGTGCACTCTGATCTTATGGGACCTACCAGAACTCCAAGTTATAGTGGCTTCCGCTATATGATGGTTCTACCAGAACTCCAAGTTATAGTGGCTTCCGCTATATGATGGTTATTGTGGATGATTACTCCCGCTACAGCTTGGTGTATTTTCTGGAAACCAAGAGTGAAGCTCTCACCCACTTTATGTAGTTTAAGATGATGGTAGAAAGGGAGTTTGGGTCGGCCATAAAGTGTTTGCGTACCGATAATGAAGGTGAATTTCTATCTCATGAATTTTCAAAATTTTGTGAGAATGATATTTATCGTCAAATAACATGTCTGAATACCCTGCAACAGAATGGGGTCGCTGAGCGTAAGCTGACACACCTTACAACAGTGACCTTATCTTGGCTGCATGATAAAAATCTTCCTCGAGAGTTGTGGGCAGCAGTTATGCAATGTGCTTGTCATGTAATTAACCAGTTACTTCCATGACCAAGTACTTCAAAATCTCCTTTTGAGATGATTTATGACATTAAACCTGATGTGAGTTATTTCAGAATTTTTGGTTCTCTTTGCTATGTTCATATACCCAAGCATCATCGAACTAAGCTTGACCCGAAAGCAAGAAAATGTGTGTTTGTTGGTTATGATGCTCATAGGAAAGGCTGGAAGTGTATGGATCCTGTCACGAAGAAGATTGTTACTTCTCGTGATGTTGTGTTTGATGAGGTTTCTACCTTATACCCTGCTGCTACTGCACATGGAGAAAACTCAGAAAGTGTTCCTCTTATTGATTCTGACATTGAGTCTATTGCTACTCAAGCTGATTCCAGCGAAAGGGGGAGATTGAAGTTCCCTCAACTTATTTCCTCACAAGGTGAAGTCACACCGCGAAGGATGACAAGGCAAAGGAAGTTGCCTAGTCATTTAAATGAGTATGATGTGCAGTTAAATTAGTGCACTATCTTCTTTTATGGTGACAGATACTTTTGAAAATGAACCTACATCCTATTCTGAAGCTCAAGGGAAGCCTGATTGGGAAGTTGCAATGAGAGATGCAATAGCAGCCTTGAAGAAGAATGCTACTTGGGATCTTGTACCTAGACCGAAGGGTGCTGATCTTATTACATGTAAGTGGGTTTACAAGCTAAAGAAGGCAGCAGATGGAACCATTGCAAGACACAAAGCTCGCTTAGTTGCTCGTGGTTTTTCTCAGCAGTATGGCTCGGATTACGATGAGACCTTTAGTCCTGTTGCAAAAATGGTTCCTGTTCGTACCATTATCTCTTTGGCTGCTAGCAAAGGTTAGACTATTTGGCAATTTGACGTGAAAAATGCTTTCCTTCACGGGGAGTTAGATCATGATATATATATATGAAGCAACCACAGGGGTTCGTATCTGAGAAGTTTCCTCATTATGTATGCCGACTTAAGAAGGCTCTCTATGGCCTCAAACCAGCGCCTCGTGCTTGGTATGGGAAGATAGCTGAATATTTCATATTTTGTGGTTTTCATCCTTCAGATTCAGATCCTAGTCTCTTTGTCAAGGTAAAGGGATCATTGGCCATTATGATTCTTCTTTATGTGGACAATATGATAATTACAGGAGATGATGCAGCTGAAATTATGCGCCTCCAAGATGATTTATCTCTTTGTTTTAAGATGAAAAGCTTGGGTGAAGCTCACTGTTTTCTTGGCTTGGAGTTGGAACGATCATATGGCTATTTTCTCTCACAAAGAGGATATGCTGCAAGGATCTTACAACATTTTGGCATGGAGAACTCCAACTCTACAACCACTCCCATGGATCCAGGCCTCAAGTTGAAGAAGGATGAAGGAAAGCCTCTGGATGATGTGACCGAGTACCGTAGAATGGTTGGGAGCTTACTGTATCTAACAATTACTCGCCCGGATATTACATTCTCAGTGTTTTATCTCAATTTATGAACCAACCGTGTTGGTCATATGGCTGCTGCAAAACGGGTCTTATGGTATGTGAAAGGAACCTTGGATTATGGATTATACTATCAACCTAATAATCAACGTTGAATTTTATACCGAATCCTAAGTAGGGATAAGTCTAACGCCTAATAAGGTTTGCTCTTTGGAAGGCTATGTCGATGTCGATTGGGCTAGAGATATAAATGACAGGCGTTCCACCTCTGGTTATTGTTTCAATATTGGTTCTGCAGCCATATCTTGGTGCAGCAAGAAGCAAAGTACAGTGGCCTTATCAAGTGCAGAAGCTGAGTATGTTGCAGCAACATTGGCCACTCAGGAGTGTATCTGGCTTTCAAGACTTATTCAAGATGTAAACGAGGACAACAACTTTCCTATTCCAGTTTTCTGTGATAGTGAAAGTGCAATCAGACTTGCTGAAAACCCAGTATTCCATGCCCGCACAAAGCATATTGATACTATCATTTTGTTCGAGAAAAGGTGCTAAATCAAGAAATTGAGTTGTGTTAGATACGAACAAAGGGGCAGGTTGCAGATGGCCTTACAAAGGCACTTTCTAAAGCTAAGTTTGAGGAGTTTCGAGGAAGACTTGGTCTTGTTAATAGAGGGCATGCACTAAGGGGGAGTGTTACAAGTTAGTTGCAGTTTAGTACATTCCCTCATATTCGGTGTCAGTTAGATTTCTGTTTTCTATTTTTATGGCTATTTTATTTCTAGTAGTTGTTATGCCCCGTTAGTGGAGTCTTTAGTGAAGTCGTATTTGCCGAGTCAGTCTAAATTACTCAGTCTCTGCTGACTGAGTAAAATTAGGAGTTAGTTAGCTTTATTTGAGTTATATTAAGAGTCTAGAGTTCCTCCGTTACCTTTTGTATTCAGTTACTCTATTTTCTGAGAAATAAAACATTTGCTTCTTTCACCTTAAATTCTTTTCTATTTTGTTATAGCGGGTAGATCAAGTTCAGATTACGCATCAGCTCTGCATAACCAGAAAATGAATTACATTGAAAGGAAAACAGGCTGGAAGTAACTGGTTCAACAAACTTACAGTAAAGCTATCACATTCATATATATGCAAGTACGTTATTGGCTGAGCCCATCGAGCTGTCCTATTTGGATTATTGAAGGGACTCGATCCAAAAAAACCAAGTCCTCTGTCATCATCCAATCCATCTCCAAGTCCTACTTCTTCTGGAGTTATTGTATCTGGACAGAAATAACATAATTACTATAAATTCTAGAACTATATTACTGGATCCTTATGTTTTGTTGGGATTGCAACATACGTGAGAACCATGGGATTAAAAGGTAAGGGAGACAATAGATGATCTGGAGTTTAGAGCAATATCCAAAAATAGGTCATACTTTCCATGCGAAAAGAGAAGAGGTCTAACAAAAAATCTCATCATTGAGCAACATTTGGCCATACTTGTTAGTGGAGAATTTTAATAACCAGTTTCAGTAAAGCAAGTAAAACATCAAGCGCAAAGTTTTGCAAAATATTTATCAACATTAGATATTAAAGCAAGACATAATACCCGATGAAGCGGAATAAACTGCCTTCACTTAGTTCCATGTACATTAGAACATAGTAAGCAAGACATGGAAACATGAATACGTATATGAGTATGTATAATATAAATGCATCTCTGATTGGTTGTATGCAGTTCGCTTAGTTCCATATGCATTAGAATAAAATCATACAAAATTTGAAGCTAATTTAGAGGTTTCTTAAATCCAAGAAATTACTGCTACAAAGAATGACTATATGTATTACTAAAAAGATATAGTAAGAGATCATTTTATAGGGCTCTTATTTAAATCCTGCTCTTAATATCCGATTCTCAATTCATATCTACATTTATTTTTAAGATTTCTATAATCAAATCAATGTAAGAAACTCTCTAATAATATACAAGGGATAGCATAGCAGATATGAGATGCCACCTCATTTTAGCTAAATGAGCCATCAAGAGACGATGAGCTTGAGCTTGACATATGGAGGAACCAATACATGATAACATCATTTACAAAAATAACCCAACTTTGGCCTTATCTATCAATGGTGAACTTAAATGAGAGAAACTACACATCATTAAATAGATTTTGTCCACAATTCTTGCTAAACCTAATGCAGCGACCGCAAAAGATCGAGACTTTACCGCCCAATTGACTCTCTAATAACCGTAACGACAGAAATACAACCCAACCCCTCGGAAAAATGGACAAAACCCAGAATCAGACTAAGAGAAACAAGAACAAGGGAGAATTAGGGCATACCCATGAGAGCAGAGATCTTGCGGATTGCCTGAGGAGATGCGGAGGCGGCGGAGGAGGAGGTGAAGGTCCTCCTGCAGAGCTCGTATAGAGCTTGTACTGAGGACCCCTTCGCCATTGCTCCTCGCAGAGCTTAGAGGGCTTGCTTGCTGTGATTTCAACCTGAAGGGTTAGAATGAGTGAAGGAAGAGATTGATGGTTCTGTTTTGGGAGAATGGGGGTTTGGAGAAGGAGATAAAGGCTAGATCAGTTGCCGCTGTTTGCAGTTGGGTTTTTTTTTTTTTTTCACTTCCCAAATGGCAAAGCCTGGTTCCCTGGATGGAGAGATGAAGATACGGCATCAATCCATCTTAGAACCTGGTTTTTTTCCGCCCCTTGGTAAATATCAGAAAACCCCTCTTCACTTTGGATGATCGTAGGTAAACCCTTGTTAGCTTTCCAAACATCAGAAAAACTCCCCCTTAAGTACGGGGATTATCACAACAAGCCCCATTTAACTTTCAAATTTTATTAGAAAACCCCTAAATGTGAGGGGGGTTTTCTAATATTTTGAAAGTTAAGGGGGTTTCTGCTAATTATCTAAAGTTAAGAGGTTTTATGATATTTAGCCCCTTTTTTGAATAAATTACACTAAGGGGGTGTTTGGCAATCTGAAAGTAAATTTAAAATATGTAAGTTACTTTTTTTTACAAATGACTTTTATATCCATGTCAGCACGCAAGTGAAATACAGTGTTTGTTTGAAAAATTAAATTATTATCGAAAGTGCAATGTGAAGATGATGTGACAAAATAAGATTAATTAGAAAATATAATTAAAATTATTTAATTAAATTAGTTAACTTTTTGTCCCTTTCATGTGACTTCACCACTTTTTTAGGGGAAGTCAAAATTGTATTAAATCTTATGTGGCAACTTTCTTACATCTCACTTTCATAACCACTTACATGAAAACAAACACCTTAATTGTTAAATGAAAGTAACTTTCTCACTTTCATCTTTCACTTGCATGCAAACAAACACCCCCTAAACCCACGCGGACTTTCAGCGTTTTAGAGCTAATACCAATGAACTTTTAGAATCACACTAAATCCCAATAACTTTTGCAGGAAAAACCCCAGTATCTTTTGGGTAAGTTGCACTAATTCCCCGATAACTTTCAAATGTTTATTTATGTTGTTTTTTTGCTCTACTTTATAGGGGTTATTTGCATAAGGCAATAAGTTATTTTGGGTTTTCTGCCAAATAGAAAAGTTATCGGGGTTTTGTGTGATTTTGAAAGTTTACAAGGGTTTACTGCAAGATGCTGAAATTCATGGGGGGTTTATTGTAGTTTACCATTATTTGAGTTAAAAATAACTAAGTACAACAGTTAAAACGTTACTATGGACCTATGGTGCCTTCCCTCAAGCAATCATTTTTTACACGAGATTGATGATTACAAGGTGATCGTCCCCTTATAGCTAATGAGCTATTAATAAATGAAAGTGTGATGCTCATATTTTTCGACTTGTCAAGGAGGACAGGCCTCACCACATAACCATCTCTTAATAGCGTCGTCACCGTCAATTTTGATATCACTATGCATTAATTGGACTGTCATTATAAAATGATTGTTATTTGTAATGGACAAAAAACTTATTTATCGAAACTTTGATTATGATATAAGTAATACAAGAATTAAGATAATGAATCTATTAAATATAAGATATTTTTCATGTAGAATTTAAGTGTTTAGATGCAGAGCAACTCACCCCATCTCATAACTCTGACATATCCCTAGTCGTAGCTTCAGACTGCTTGTAATTTAGGCTGAGCAAATTTCAGTCTGAACCCGATAAAACCGATCGAACCGAATGATTTTTAAACGTTCGGTTCAGTTTCGTAGTTTGTTCGGTCAGGTTCAAAAAATCTCAACCTGTGAAAATCGATCCACACTCGACTTAAACCTCAAGCAATACACCTGATACCCGCATGTGAGGGCGTGAGAACAAATTATAACCATACCCAACAGCTTCCTATTTCTCTTCTGTCCTTAGAGTTTCCTCCTTTTCTCTTCTTTGATTTTTCCCATTATAGTATCTTTCTTCACAGTGAGAGCCTCCACCTTGTAGGATTCGGCCATCACTACGCTTTTTCAATACTCGATGATGGCGGCATATCGCAACCCTAAGAACCGACCGAACCAAATCGAAATAACTCAGTTCCGTTCGGTTCGATTTAGTCTTCATTGTCGGTTTAGTTCGGTTTCATCTAAAATGGCAAAAAACCAACCTGACCGACCATTTGCTCAGCCCTACTTGTAATTACACATATTTTACAGCTCTAACTTACTTTTAGTTAAGTTACCAACCATTTGTAATCATACCTACTTACAGTTCTCTGCTGCTTATTTCTACTTGTATGCATGTACGTGATATTTATCTTATATCAATACAATAAGGAAAGCTCTCATTCTGTACCTCTCTAACAGTAAAACTTAACAATAATTAATTTATATTTTCCTCCATCCCAAACACACACAAAAAACCCAGAGAAAAGAATTTAGAAAAGAAAAAGACTTAATTGTTTATCTCTGTCGGCAATATACAGCGGTCAAGAGACTCAAAATTCATCTTAATATCCAAGTCGGATCCAGAGAGAACAGAATCCGCAATCCGCACCCGAACTGATTCAACTTGAATTGGGCCCTAAACGACCCACGTTTCTTAATCAAGAGCCACAAGAGACAAGCCCAGCAGCAAGACCTAAGCGCTACCCCGTCTACGTGTCATCTGCTCCCTTACTCTCTCCCTAAAAAACTCTCTCTCTTTTCTAGAATCTCTCAAGTCTGCGCTCAAGAAAAGCATCACTCGCTAAAATCACCCGAAAATAAGAACAAAAGACGAAAAAGCGAGAAAATTTTGGAGGGGCAAAATAATTAGGTTTTTCAGAATGAGGACATCGATCTCGCGTTTGATCCACTCGCACTCTCCTCTTTCTCGCTTCCAGTAAATTCCTTTCCCCGTATCTTTATGATTTTCATTAAACTTTCTGAGCATTGATAAAAAAAAACCCATTTCCATTTTCTCCCTTAAATTGGGGGAAAATGGTATCTTTCTTTAATTGGATCAGTGATTTGATCTGGGTTGTGGATTTCTAGCAGTATACCCGCTTTCTCGCAGAGTGGGAGGTTGCTGTCGACTGAATCCAATAAAGTGGAGGAGCCCTTTAAAGTACAGGAAGCAGAGACTGTTAACGTGCCACCTCCACCTTCAGAGAAAGTAAGAGAACTATAATTGGTGTATACAATGGTTATTTGTGGTGATTTTTTTGTGATGATATTCGTTTTATGCCAACTGCATTTTGCTTTCAGTTGCTTGTGTTGGGTGGAAATGGCTTTGTGGGATCTCATGTTTGTAAAGAAGCATTGGAGCATGGGCTGTCTGTTGCTAGCCTGAGCAGGTAGTTGCTACATTGGTAATTATAATTAAGATACATTGGTAATTATAATTTGAATAGTTTCGTGTCCATGTCGTCCTATGCCATTTATGTAAATGTACTAGGTTTCATGAAGAGGATTACATTTGTCGTAGTTTTACTATGTTACTAGGTGAATTGCACATGCAATGCACGTGGTATAAAGTTTTAGATTTAGCTAAAATTGATAATTTAGTTTAGCATTTCACTCTAATTTATACATTGAATCATTTTAAGTTAATTTGGAGTTAAACAAACATATGATAGCCTAGTGAAGGCCCAGAAGGAGCACTACTTTTTTGCAAATCTTATATCACTATTAAAAGGATAATTATATAGTAAGATTTAGTTATATTTTCACATGTAAGATTGATTCATTAATTTGCCTTAAAGAGTTTTCAGATTTTCATTTTTCAATGTACAGAAGAATATAAATCAAAACAGTTTATTACACTTGTTTCTAAATGAATATTTTCTCATAAACGGGGTATCAAATTGTTAATGTTAGTATTTAGAAAGATCATTTAACCCGGTTCCAAACTTTTTCAGTAGAAATATAAATAAAAGTATAATTTTACAATTGACAGTTTTATTCATCTTTATAATGACAAGAAAGGAGTTGACACATGCTTGCTCTGCACAATTTTATACAATATGACTAAAAGCAAGAACAAAATACCAGGTTTAAACACAACTCTGCATTATAATGTGCTTCTCAAGTTACCTCTCCGCCATGTTCTAGTACAGTGTCTTCAACAACATCACCTAGCATTTCAATGGACCGACAAAAGACAAAGATGCATAGTCTTCTTTCGGTGTCAAGTCCCTGTACTAAAAATAACAATAAAATTTGTCAGCCAAATGCCATATTGCAGAGTAAACAGAAAGATAAGTTAATACAGGGGGCACTACTTACATTTGTTGCAGCAATATTAAATAGGGCACCAAGACAAAGACCTTGATCAGGATCCATGTAATCACTCTCGTGAAAATGTTAAAGTTTATGTGACGATTTTGATCTCCCTTTCCACTTCTACACAAGCATTATAAGAATATGTATCTCCAACATAAAAGAAACGTATGAAAAAATAAAACTCCAAATAAATGATGCCAAAAGGGAGAAATTAGAAGAATTTTCTGAACCAATTTGTTAGTCAATCTAACTATTTAACTGCATCATAAAATCTTTTTATATTATTAAATTCATGTGTTTAAGAAAACAAACAAATTAATTGAGGGAAGATGTCTCTTAAAAAATGTCTCCTTTTATTTAGATGAACATGTGTGTAGAAGCTTCCCTTTCTACAATGATTCATTACCCTTTCTTTTTAGATGTAAAATATCAGCAAAAAGATTCCAAAAGAGATCTAATAGTAACACTTGAGTTAAATAAATTTTAAGATATTGATAGAAAAGCAAAAAGATTCCAAAAGAGATCTAATAGTAACACTTGAGTTAAATAAATTTTAAGATATTGATAGAAAATTTTAGCATGTCAAAATAACTCCATTGAGAAAAAACTTTTCAATGAAAAACCTTAAAATTCTGAATTTATGAATAAATACCTAATAAGTTCTCAAGAATTTGAAGGACTTCAAGTGATTAGCAATCCATGGTGCATTTCAATAGAGGCTAGAGTGAAATTCAGAACCTTTTTTAAAGGAATCAACTTCTCCAATTACTTTTCCAAATTCATCACTTTACATGGTTCCTTCATGCTTGCTGGTATTATAGGCCCATACATGAACAGAAAATTTGTGCCTGTTTGGAGATGATGATCTCAGATATGTGTTGTATCAGTTAATAACATTAGTCCTTTGAATTGTTTTTATCTCCTCTGCTTCCAATTTTGAAGCTTAACCAATGGTGCAATGGTGCATTTGGAATTTAGTCTCCCCACTACTTTCATTAGGTAATAGTTGTATTTTATCATCCTTTTTGTGCATTCTTGAGGTTTATGAGGTTTTAGCAAATCTGAATAGGATTCGAAAAACTTTAGAAAAGGGCTATCAAGATTATTCTATAGGCACATACATGAAGTTTAACGTGAAGAGTATGTTTATTGAATCATTATCATACATAGTTGTTGACTAATATGGCATGCTAGTGGTAGTACTATGTCCATCTTTCATTTGGTATTTGTTTATCGATACTAACATTCTGCAGGTATAAGTGTATAACATTCTGCTGTATTACATGCCAAATAATTATAGTATGTTGTTAAAACTATGAGGTTTGAATCTTGTACTTACAAAAAAAAAATTATACATCTAGTTAAACTTTGACATTTTTAGGGACTATCATTTTATCATTATGTAAATATTTACATGATGAAGAAAATGACAAAACAATGTCAGTGTTCCAAGTTTGTGTTATAGAACTATCATAGCATATCAAACAAAGTCCCCTATGACTTTACCCATAGCATATAGAAGTTAAAGTTGACTATTTTGTGGTTGCTAACCCACTAAAAACTTAATATTCAATCCTAATTGTTTATTATGCGTATTCAAGTGCAAATTTTTAAAATTTTAGGAGATTAGTGATTGTCTGCATGGGTGCTTGCATGGGCCCATTGATGTGTGGAATGAGCTTATGTTTGAAGGAAAGATGAAACAACTTGATTTGTGCAAGAGTGTATTCTTTACTTGGAATATTGAATAAGTTTTTGTGAAATTCTGAATAAGTATTGTTTCTCCAATCCGATTCAATTGACAAAGAAGATTTGTGTAAGCTTATAGTCAATATAAGAAGTTTTGTGTAAGTTCATAGTCAATATCTGCCAAAATTGGATATGAGGATAGGAGAGAAACATTTAAGAGAAAAAAATAAGTCCAACTAATAATATTGGAGAATATATGAACCATGTTATATAAGAGCTATTTAAATAAAAGAAAATTTCTTGAATCAGAGTTCGAAGTGTTTGATATATGTAAATATAACTATGGATCTCCAAAATTGGTCGTAGATCCACCAATTTAATGTCCAAATAATTTTAATTATATGATCTATATATGTATATCCAAAACTGAGAATTTGGATCTAGATATTGAACTTATGTTTGTCTTTGTATCTTTGTCCTACCAAAACTATAAAAATTTGGATCTAGATATTGAACTTATGTTTGTCTTTGTATCTTTGTCCTACCAAAACTATAAAAAGTATATCCATATTTAATATCATTGAACTTATGTTTGTCTTTGTATCTTTGTCCTACCAAAACTATAAAAAGTATATCCATATTTAATATCTATGATAATCCTATCAGATGTAAATATGAATATATCCTTAGATATTTGCATACTTCATCCCTAAAAAATATACGCAATCAATTATACCAGCAAGATAAGTAAAAATCTCTCTGAAAAGTTAAGACGAGAGAATTGTTCTACCTATTTCATCCCTAAAAAATGTATGCAATCAATTGTACCAACAAGATTAGTAAATATCTTTTTGAAAAGTCAAGACACGAGAGAATTATTCTCCCTAGGACACATCTTCATAAAGCTCTCTTCCTTGTGTTGTCATCCTCATTAAGATGGAAATGTAGAATTTATGATTAAAAAGATCAAGTTGCTCTATTTTTAGCTCAAACAAAAATTGAGACAAAATATTTTACTAATAAAGTGATGTAAACCCTTCAACGCTTCAACTGCTTATTTGATCAGGCTGTGTACCTTGGTTTCATTGACTACCCAAGTCCTTAAGGTTAAGAAACACACTGTCATTTTATAGTTACAAAATAAATTTAGTACCTTAAGCAACCACCTAAAAGTGTGACTCAATAAATGCCAAATGTATTACTCAAAGAAGTTAGGTTGATGGTGGCGTGTGAGAGGTATTTGACATATAATCAGGTAATATTACAAAGGCAAGATAACCAAATCGTATATTCTAAAGTCCAATGAATAAAATCCATCAAGGATTGAGCAATAAATGAATCCACAACACTCATGTAGACCATAGCATTTTCAATTACACGAGCAATGCACGTGGTAAAATTTTTAGATTTATTTTAACTTGATAATTTTATTTAAGGAATGTTGTAAAAATTTATTGAATGTAAACAATGGAGCAAACATATGGACAGAAGCTAAAAATTCATAATATTTTAACAATAAAATTACATTTAGGGATCAATTGGGCAATAGTACAGTGGGTGCATCCTCAATAATAGAAAACAAACTATGATATACAAGCCATAATAACACATCATTTATGCGTCAATGATATACATTACTCTACTAAATAAATATGGAAAACAAGTATTATTCAGGCTACAACCAGAATCAAGTCATGCAATGATATAGGATGATGATATTCAAACAATTGGATGAGGTAAATAATGAATGTGTATTAACAACTATCTTAACTTGAAAGTATAACAATCCTCAGTAGACCAGCAACAATAATATTATCAACTATCCTCCTCAATTTAGAGCGCTAGGCCAAAGTTACAAATGCTAAAAACAAAGAAAGGTAAGTCAATTCTGAAATAAATTATAAAATAACTAAATATTATCAATTATCCTCTTCAAATGAGAGCGCTAGGCTAAAGTTACAAATGTTAATTTGGATGTTGGTTTTTAGATTTTTAATTTTTTTGATTTTGTGTAATTTTTATTACATTGTGTTGATTTTTTTTGTTCTGAGTTTATGTTTGAATTAAAGTATTATAAGTAGTTTTACATGATACACTCAACAAAACAAACATGTTCCAACAAATGGTATCAAAATGAGAAAAGTAAGAAATTTTGAGGTATTAAATTGTTAAAAGTACATTGGGTGTACAAAATTGATAAAAGTGGTGAACTTTAGGGTACCAAAGTGAGTAAATATTCTTTTTTTATTTCTACACAATGTGCGTACAACTTTATCATATTTGATAGGCTTGTATCACTCCAGCAAGTCTTCACCTAATTTATGGATGTAATAAGACTTTTAGAAGAATCATCCTAATTTCTGTGTGACCTATATCTTTCAGG